AAAAGGGTGGGTATTCTGAACTGCCGTTTGGTGCATAAGCACAAACAACAGTCAGGACCCGTCCCCCCACCCGAAGGCGAAGGGAGGCTACCCTCTCATCCACCGCGGTAAACCCCAATGTACAGGCGCCCAACCAGGGGGCAATAAGTATGCCCACCCCAGCTCAGCGCCTCTCCCCGTGAGCAACTCCAGAGTGGAAGAGGGTCCAACCCCCTTCGAGGAGACTGGTTCCAGAGCCTAAGCCGTGCGTCGAGGTGAGCCCGACTACATCTAGTCGGAACTTCACTGCCTCGCGCACCAGCTCAGGCTCCTTCCCCACCAAAGAGGTGACATTCCATGTCCCTAGAGCTAGCTTCTGCAGCCGAGGATCGGACCGCCAAGGTCCCCGCCTTCGGCCACTGTCCAACTCGCACTTCACCCGACCGCTATGGCCCCTCCTACAAGTGGTGAGCCCATTGGAGGGGGGACCCATGTGCCTTTTTCGGGCTGTGCCCGACCAGGCCCCATGGGTGCAGGCCTGGCCACCAGGCGCTCGCCATCGAGCCCCACCCCCAGGCCTGGCTCCAGGGGGGGGGCCCCGGTGACCTGCGTCCGGGCAAGGGAAATTGTGGATCCATGTTATAACTCATCATAAGGGGTCCACCCTTAGCTAGCTTTGGGAAAAACCAAGGTGTTCCCAGGTCAGACAAGAGATATTTAACCTCTCCAATGTGTCATGGGTCAGCCAAGGTCTCTTCCCAGGGGGACATGCCCGGAACACCTCCCCAGGGAGGCATCCAGGAGCCATCCTTGATAGATGCCTGAGCTACCTCAACTGGTTCCTCTCAATGCAGAGGAGCAGCAGCTCTTCTTTGAGCTCCTCCAACATGTCTGGGCTGAGCCCAGACACCCTGTGAAGAAAACTCATTTCTGCCGCTTCAATCTGCGTTCTTATTATTTTGGTCACTACCTAAAGCTCATGACTGTGGGTGAGGGTAGGAACGTAGATCAACTGGCAAATTGAAGGCTTTGCCATCTAGCTCAGCTCCTTCACCACAACAGAACAGTACAGTGTCTGCATTATTGCTGACGCTGCCCTGATCTGCCTGTCATTCACCTGCTCCATTCTTCCCTCACTCATGAACAAGACCCTGAGATACTTCAATTCCTCGGCTTGAGGAAGTAACCCATCCCTAACCAGGACAGGGCAATCCACCCTTTTCCGGGTGAGAACAGTGACCTCAGACTTGGAGGTGCTCATCCTCATCCTGGGTTCTTCATATTCAGCTGCAAACAGTTCATGCTGCAGGTCACAGCCCGATGAAGCTAACAGGACTACATTATCTGTAAAAAACCAAAGACGCAATCCTGAGGTCACTGAACTGGACCCCTTCCACCTCTTGGTTACACCTAGAAATTCTGTCCAAAAAAGTTATGAACAGAACCAGTGACAAAGGGCAGCCCAGGCAGAGTCCAGCATTCACTGGGAACGAGTCTGACTTACTCCTGGCAATGCAAACCAAACTCTTGCTCTGATCATACAAGGACCTGTAACAACAGACCCCATACTCCCGAAGTACCCCCCCCCCACCCCGAAAGACCCCCAAGGGACATAGGTATATGCTTTTTCCAAGTCCATAAAACACATGTACACTGGTTTGTCAAATTCACATAAAACCTCTAGTATCCATGTGAGGGTGAAGAGCTGATCCAGTGTTCCATGACCAGAATAGAATTTGCATTGTTCGTTTTGGATCCAAGGTTCATCTAATGGACCCTCATCTCCAGTATCCTGGTATAGACCATGTGTTTCCCCGGAAGTTGGAAGATATCTTCCAGCCCCCTTTATTTATTTATTTTTTAATTTAAGTTTTTATTGAAAAGAGATACAGTCCAATATATCTGTTTATGACTTTTGCCACGTTTACAACAATTATAGCTTGTATATTATCAAAAAGCTCTTCATGGCATATAACAGATCAATATATCTCTTTGGGTTATCTCTCAATTATACAAAAAACTATTTACAAAATAAAGGGGATGTATAGATGATACCCATACATAAAACATAGATTCTAGATTCTATAACAAAAAAACATTTGGTTCAATAGGAGTTATGTACTCGATCCACTTGGACCAAAAATCAATAAATATATCTTTTTGATTATTCATTCAGAAAGTAATTTTCTGCACTATAAACAGACTTTTTACAATATCAATCCAATCCTGTATTTGTGGTGGATTAGGTTTGTACCAGCATCTAGTAATACCTTTTTTACTTGAAGCAAGAATTATTCTATACATATATTTGTTTTTCCCTTCCCAAGAAACCATTGACACTGTGCCCATATAAAGTACCTCAAAGCTGAAATCAATTTTAATGTTTAAAATACTTTCTAATACCTTATGTATATCTTTCCAAAAACATTAAATTTTAGGACATCCCCAAAATATGTGAAAATGGTTAGCATCCTGTGAGCCACAATGTCTCCAACAATTTGAGTTGCCTTGAAAATTATTTTTCTGTTTTGGGGTAAGGAAAAACCTAATAGTATTTCTCCAGCAAAATTCTCTCCAATATGGAGAACGGGAAGTTGCCCATTGTTGTTTACATATATTTTCCCAGTCCTCGGTTGAGAGGATAATCCCACTTTCTTTCTCCCATCTTTCTTTAATGTATAAGGATGAATCTCCTTGTAAATCCATCAAAGCTCTATAAAGTTTTGTAATAGTCTTAAACATTGGTTCAGCCTTGTAAGCTGAGGAGAATATTTTAACAAGAGTACTCTTATTTGGATCTTCATCAATCCCTTTTTTAATTTTCTGACAAAAATGTTGTCGGAGCTGGAGGTATCTGTAAAAGTCTTTGGATTCTAAACTAAATTTTTCTTTTAGAGAATTAAAATCTAATAATTGTCCTTTATCCATAATTGAACAGTAAGCAGTGATCCCTTTCTTAGCCCATACTTTAAAACGCATATCCTGTCAAACCAATCAAACTCTATGTCCTTCCACCTTGCTTGATACTCTGGGTTGCACCAACAAACTATTACTCTTAACTGTGCTGCCCAAAAATATTTTTGTAAACATGGGAGCGCAACCCCTCCTTTATCTTTACTCAGCTGAAGGGTTTTAAATTTTACCCTTGGTTTCTTGCCTTGCCATATGAATCTGGAGATCAGTTTATCCCATTCTGAGAATTGTTTTTTGGGCAAGGGAACAGGCAAAGATTGAAATAGATAGAGCAGTCTTGGAAGTATTGCTTGACAGAATCTAATCTAGATCTCATGTTGAAAAAAGGTAAAAGATTCAATTTTGCAATGTCAAGTTTTATTCTTTTATTAATAGGACCATAATTAAGCATTTCTAAATTGCTCATATCCTTGGGGATATTTATTCCTAAGTATTTAATAAATGTTACATCCCATTTTAAGGAGTAATCTTTTTTAATTTCGTTTAGGGGGTTATAATTAAAGGTCAATACCTGTGTTTTTGAAAAATTTAATTTAAATCCTGAAAAAGAGCCAAACTTTTTTAATGTTTCCATTAACTCAATCAATGACTCAGTTGGATCTTTTAGATAAACTAATATGTTGTCAGCAAATAATG